ATTCTGCAAATAAGAAAGGACTTTGTTCAGAGGTTTGCTCAAGATCATCTGACAAAGTCAGAAGTAGAACTTCAGACTTATGGTACAACATTCTCTCTGAATATGCTCTGCTACCTTCTGTTGAGTTAGGTTCTTTTGTGACTATTTGGTAGCCTCCAAATTCACCACCAAGTAATTTAAGATGGCCACATGAAAGGCTGAGGTGGAAGGATCGCCTAAGCATAGCAGGTCAAGGCTGCAGTGGCCGTGAGCATGCCACTGCACTCTAGCCTGGGTGACAGAGTGAGACTCCAACTCAAAAAAAAAAAGACCACAAGTTCTTTATGTGTGAATGAAAGTTTATTAGTCATCTTTTAAACAAAACAATAAAATGGTTTAGAACAAGTTTATAAGAAATATAAACAATTATCTATAACAGTCCATAATCATCACACATAAAGATGTACATAGTCATAACTGTCCACACACTTGAGCCAAAGCACATAGGAATGAAGCCTTGTGCTACCTAGTCTGTTGCCATCTACCAACCCCTCCCTCCCTCTCCCCCTCTCCTCCCCCACGCCCCCCCCTTCCTGTCTCTATTCCTTCATGCCCCACAAGAATTAGCTTTGGCACTTATCTCAAGGGGATCCAGAAAAGGGCTAGTTTGGATCAGCCACTCTCTCCATTCTCCTAAAATTAGTTAATACTTTCTACATGTAATTGAACTTTTAGGTACATGACTTACGTCAATGGACAACCAATTATTTCTATCAACATCTTGGGGTTGGCTAATTTGCATAAGAGAAAAACAGGGCTTGGTTTATAAACCTGTTTAGTACCTAATTCCATGCTGTGGCTTTTCACCATAAACAGCTGCATAACTGTTGACAATGTCTAAATTTTCTTTTCTCCTGAAAACATCGTCCCCACTAGTTCTTGTTCCTAATTATTTTTTATTTCTTCAACTTTTTTTAATCAGTATTAACTCTATTTCTAATTGTGTTTCATAAAGCAATAATTAATACAAGAGGCCGGGCTCGGTGGCTCAACCTGTAATCTCAGCACTTTGGGAGGACGAGGTGAGTGGATTGCCTGAACCTGGGGGGTCGAGACCAGCCCGGGCAACTTGGCGAGACCTCGTCTCTACAATAAATAAAAAATTGGGCCGGGCTCGGTGGCTCAGCCTGTAATCCGCGCTTTGGGAGGCTGAGGTGAGTGGATTGCCTGAGCCCGCGGGTTCGAGACCCGCCTGGGCAGGCGAGACCTCATCTCTACAATAAAATCAAAAAATCAGCCAGGCGTGGTAGCGCGCGCCTGGAATTCCGGCTACTCGGAAGGCTGAGGCGGAAGGATCGCCGGAGCCCAGCAGGTCGAGGCTGCGGTGGCCGGGAGCGGCCACTGCACTCCAGTCTGGGCGACAGAGTGAGACTCCAACTCAAAAAAAAAAAATTAGCCAGGCGTGGTAGCGCGCACCTGTAGTTCCGGCTTCTTGAAAGACTGAGGCGGAAGGATTGCCGGAGCCCAGCAGGTCGACGCTGGAGTGACCGTGACTGTACCACTGCACTCCAGCATGGGCAACAGAGTGAGACTCCAACTCAAAAATAATAATAATAATAATTAATTAATTAATACAGAAATTAATCCATTGGAGTAGGGTTACATTTTAACAATTGTTAAACACATATAATCACACAAATCAAACACTGAAATATATATTTTCTGGTCCTGACATACTATTACAGTATAGTCTTTCCAGGTGTCCCAGATAAAGAAGATACCAGTCACCTCCACATACTATAAGGTTGCAGTATCTTTCTGCTTTGTCATCTAAGGACCATATTGAACATTATTTGTTTTATAGGCTGGCTCAAATCTTTATCTTGTTTCAAGGTCTAGTGTAGTCTCACAGATTTCGCTTGATGTATTTTGATGACCTGCTTAAGTTAGCGTGGTTGCTTGTGTTCTGTCATAAGACACTAATAGTTTTAACTAGCTCACGTTAAACTGTTGTAGAATTGTTATAAAATCCATACTCTAATGTTATACTTGGAGGAATAACTACCCTTCGGGATCTAGCATGTTTGAGACAGCCAGGTGTATCCTACTACAGCTACATTTCTCACCCAATAGAATTCGAAGCAGATTGGTGATCTTTCCTTGGCTGTGTTTCCTGATCTTGTCCAGGTGTTTATGCTTTGAGTTTTATTTTGATACGGAATTATGGCCCAGTTTCCTAAAGTCCAAATTCCTTGCAGGGAGTGTGTGTCTTCCCTGGCTGTTTCTAAATCTCTAATTAAAGCATAGATTCTATCTCTTAACTTTTATACAGTTCCTCGTGTTGTTCTTTTTATTTGCTAAATGTATAGATTTTCTTGTTTAACTGCTATTACCAATCTTTCCAGCAAAACCGTTCCTATTGGCATAGAGGGATAAACAGTTTCTTCTTGCATTCCTACTACTCTATTTAGGTTAATTCAGCATGGTCCTTTTGTACTGCATCAATGATTTTAGACATAACTGCATGTTCTAGAGTCCCTTACATTGAGAAAGTGAGGTTCAATTTGCCCAGTTATTGTAGCTGCTAAGTCCCTCAATCTGCTGTCCCATGTGGTTTGTTATCCACAGTTGTTACTCTGTGACATGATTTTTATTTTTCTATGTGTGTTTTTGTTTTCTCCTTGAAGACTCCTGAATTCTCATCTACTCTTATCAGTCCTCTCACACAGCTATCTATTCTGGAACTTTCTCATGTTAAAATGTTGAGTAGCTCTGAAAGTTCTGATTTTCGAAAGGGACTGCAGTAGCTTTTCCCAATACAGCAGTCTCATGTATAAATTTGTTAAATCGCCTTATCCTAAAATTCAGTGGCCAGATTGACTTGTGTTTTTCCCGCTTACTGCTTATTCAAATAATACCTGGTTACACAGTCAATAATTGCCCCCATTTATCTTTAAAGGTAGCTAATTATATGTGTATGCAGACCTCACTTAGCATTAGATGCAACATCTGTCATGTTGATTAGTTCTGAAGTCATCTGTGTTTAAAGGTCACCTTAATCCTTCATAATGTGCTTTAGGGCTTTATATGAATTGGTATAGTCTGGTTTCCACTAGTGTGGATTTCCTTCTACATGTCATTTCTTCATAATTTGCATATAACTCATTGTCCAGTCATATTTCTGTATGTTTTTACCTAGCTGTTGCTCATGTCATGAGATGCAAAGGCCATTTTCCAAGAAGAAGGTCCAGAGTGTCCATGGGCTTGTCTGAGGTGTAGCTATTCTTCCAAATAGAATTGAGGATATTGTATGGCATAGAATGGTATGATCAGCCGGGCTCGGTGGCTCAGCCTGTAATCCCGAGCCTTTGGGAGGCTTAGGTGAGTGGATTGCCTGAGCCCACGGGTCCGAGAACCACCTGGGCAGTGAGACCTCATCTCTACAATAAATAAATAAAAAATCAGCCGGGTGTGGTAGCGCATGCCTGTAATTCTGGCTACTCGGAAGGCTGAGGCGGAAGGATCGCCAGAGCCCAGAAAGCAAGGCTGCGGTGGCCAGGAGCGGCCACTGCACTCCAGTCTGGGCGACCGAGTGAGACTCCAACTCAAAAAAAAAAAAAGAATGGTATGATCAAAGAATTTCCTGCATATTTTTATTTGGCCCCTCTGTTTTGATGAGGGGTCCTTTAGCTATTACATTTTTTCCCCTCTGGCATATATAGAATTAACATGGCTAAGTAGTAGCCTACATTTTATTTCAATTCATTATTGCTCTCGTCTCTCAGTACTAAATACTTCTAGCTGGAGGTTGCAACAGGTCCACTGTAATAAGTCTATCAGTCATTCTTTTAAAATAAAGCTATATTTGGCCGGGCTCGGTGGCTCAGCCTGTAATCCCAGCACTTTGGGAGGCCAAGGCGAGTGGATTGCCCGAGTCCACAGATTCAAGACCAGCCCGGGCAACTTGGCAAGACCTTGTCTCTACAATAAAACAAAAAATTAGCTGGGCGTGGTAGTGCATGTCTGTAGTTCCAGCTACTTGGAAGGCTGAGGCAGAAGGATCGCCGGAGCCCAAGAGGTCGACACTGGGATGGCCATGAGCGTGCCACTGCACTCCAGCCTGGGCGACAGAGTGAGACTCCAACTCAAAAAATTAATAAATCAATAAATAAAATATAGCTATATTCAAGAAAATATACTTTACTCACTTCTAGTGTGGACCATCATCTCTAAGCCTATGTGCTAAATGTTTGTCTTTTCATTGGTGAATGGTCCTTATAGAGCTTTCTCTAGCCTTTCTAGTGCTTCTCTCTTTTGTTATTTGTAATAGTGTCCCATTTCCATTTGTGGGAACAATATCAGAAAGTAGTTGCAATTAGGTCAGCATTTTTTAGAAGAGTATAGCACTGGAACCTCTTTTTAACAGGCTTTTCGCTGGCAACAGTCATCTGAAAACCTTTCTGCAGTTTTATTATCTGCTAGATGCTGCCCTCTTAGACTTACTTCCCTCAGTCTGCTATACCATCCATTGTTTGTCACATTCTCTCTTAAAAAAACAGTAAGGAGTTATATCTTTTCAAGTAAAAGTGTTCCAACATTGTCCTGTTAGTGGAAATGTATTCACTGTCCTGGGGGATATTCCGCTCTTCATTTCCATTCATTGTAAAACAGTGAAATTGGGTCCCAAGATGTGATAGAGTTTATCAGTTCTTCACTCCACTGTTAAGTGAAGTGTTTATTTTCTTTGTTGTTTGTACCTGTTATCAGGAATTCTAACAGGAGAACAGGTACAGGTAAAGGAAGAACTACATGGCTAAAGTCAGAATTTTATAAATAAAAACAAAGAAAAAATAGACTAGTCTTTGTTGGAAGTAAACCAAACCTTACTTGTTCTATAAATTACTAGTAATGAAAATGTACAGAACTAGCAGAAAACATGTTGGGTAATTTACAGAAAAGTTAGAATATATTCAAACAGATAAATGATCAATTCTCACAGGCTGGTGGGGACAAATTGGGCCTTAGTTGCTTCTTAAGTCACCGTTCATACCAGAGAATGTATCTTCATATAAGTCATCAATGTCTAACATAACTTGATCTATATCAAAGACTAGGTCTTCATTGTCTCTTGGTGTAAGAATTGACTCTAAGTCTGAGAGATCAGCGAGATCTGGTAATGAAGATTCTTCAGGAGGAGATACATCTGCTTCTATTTGTTCTGTTCTATCATTTTGTCCTACATAAGGAACTTGCTCTTGTGAAATCAATTGTAAAATCCCTTCAGCTATTCTCATCAACTGGGCTACACATTCAACAAGACCACCAACTAAGACAGGGATTGACATAGACTCCATGCCTCAGTGCTTTTTTCAATAGATAAAATATTGCAAATGAACTCTTGGTAACAACGAATCCTGTAGGACTGACAGTGGTTCTGTGGTTGGCTTAGATAAGAACTGAGGATACTGATATGATTATGATGGTGATCAAGTACAGAATGAGACCAGTGGTTCTATAGAACTTTTTGGTGATGTTGGTAAACTGCCCACAAAATTTACATATGATACTCTTGTTTTTACTAGGAGTGAACCACTGCTACAATTACCATCAGACAGATTGTCACAGTCAAGAGAAAACAGCAAAGCAGATCTAATAATAGAAAAGAAAAAATATAAAGATTAGTATCATTGAACCTTTATGAATCCTACAGATTCTAACTACAGAACACCCTTATCAAAAATTGCCCATGGGCCAGGCTTGGTCAGCCTGTAATCCCAGCACTTTAGGAGGTCGAGGCGAGTGGATTGCCTGAGTCCACAGGTTCAAGACCAGCCCGGGTAACTTGGTGAGACCTTGTCTCTACAATAAATAAAAAAGTAGCCGGGCATGGTAGCTCACCTGTAGATCTAGCTACTTGGAAGACTGAGGCGGAAGGATCCCCGGAACCCAGCAGGTCAACGCTAGGGTGGCCATGAGTGTGCCGCTGCACTCCAGCCTGGGTGACAGAGTGAGACTCCAACTCAAAAAAAAAATTGCCCATGAAGTTGAAAAGGTGTCTCTAGCTATTGCTCCTTTTTTGCTAGCCTAATGAGAATTTACTACTTCTCCTTTCTTTCAATTTCGTATGGTCTTTCTCTCTTGTTAAGAGACTTGAGAGAAAGGTGAGCATAGGTAGTTTGTCTTTCTTGAAAATCTCTTTTAAGGATGGCTACATTCACTCAGGACCTTTCAGTTAACTCTGTCTTCATTAGCATCTTTGCCTCATTACCATTTCTATCTGATGCAACTAAATTCTTTCTGAGTTTTTAATAACCCATTCATTAAAGTTTCCGGTTGCCCTTCAGCCTAGGAGGTGTATAATAAATAAAAGTCCAAGCCGGGCTCGGTGGTTCAGCCTGTAATCCCGCGCCTTTGGGAGGCTGAGGTGAGTGGATTGCCTGAGCCCGTGGGTTTGAGACCCGCCTGGGCAGGCGACACCTCATCTCCACAATAAATCAAAAAATTAGCTGGGCACGGTAGCACGCGCCTGTAGTTCCAGCTACTTGGAAGGCTGAGGTGGAAAGGATCGCCGGAGCCCAGCAGGTCGAGGCTGCGGTGGCCGGGAGTGGCCACTGCACTCCAGTCTGGACAACAGAGTGAGACTCCAACTCAAATAAATAAATAAATAAAAGTCCCACAATCTTTGTATTTTGCCAAACTTTTAAAATGTCAATTATAAAATTAGTTCCTTTATAATTTCCTATTACTGCCCTTCTTTCATTTCTAGCAGCTATGTCCTCCAACTTTATCTAAAGCCATGGTAACACCATTTTCATCTACATGTCTGGTGAACTCTGTAAGCCTACTTCCTGAGTGAGTATATATTTTTGTAAGGCAATTTTTTTGTTGTTGTTTAAAAAATCTAGGAATTAGGCCAGGTGCAGTGGCTTATGCCTATAATCCCTGCACTTTGGGAGGTAGAGGCAAAGGATTGCCTGGGCCCAGGGCTTTGAGACCAGCCTGGGCAATTTGGCAAGACCTTGCCTCTACAATAAATCAAAAAATTAGCTGGGCATGGCAGCACACACCTGTAGTTCCAGCTGTTTGGAAGGATTGCCTAAGCCCAGCAGGTTGAGGCTACAGTGATCATGACCTTGCCACTGCACTCCAGCTTGGACGACAGAGTGAGACTCCAACTCAAAAATAAAAATAAATATAAAATAAAATAAAAATTTAGGGATTAGCCCAAGATAATATACCTGCCACATTTGTCTGATTTACCACTCCCATACCCATTAACTGAGTTTCTTGAGGATGCAAGAAGTTTTCAGTAACTTGACATATCTCATATTACCTACTCACTTGTTTGTTTAATTCATAGTTTTTTTCCCTCCACTCTTTCTCCTCTGCTTACCTAGTACATATACCCTGAGGTTTCACATGCCCATTCTGAAACCCTAAGTTGAACTGATAAGGGAGCTGAGTTGAAACTATGAGTGTCCAAGGTTACAGAAGAGACAGATTGTTTCCCCTCTCATTCCATATGGTTTATTCCCCTCTCATTCCATATGGTTTATTCAGCTTTTTCCATTCTGATGAGCTGATACATGTCTTATATGAATCACTAAATTCCTTTCACCAATTTACTTTCTTATCTCCCTTCAGCAGATTATTTTTCCGACAATAGTCCATTCTATAATTTCCATTTATTAGACTATATATCTCCAGTCTATGACTGATCAGTATAGTTATATACCTTTTGCCAGTTGTTTTCTTGGGCATATCTGCACATTAAATTTTTGGCTATTAATCCTGTAAATTGGGATGATTTTCTTTCTCCAGCCTCAATCAGGCTTTTCCTACTGGAAAGTCTTAGAAAGCAGCCATCTATTTCATTTCTTTAAGATTCTGTCAAATCTATTATTGCCTTATTTCAGCAGTTCTGAACAGAGTGGGGTCCAGCAAGCCACAGGCTTCACTTCTTGAATGTTTATTGGAGTACAGCATATCATAAGCCAGATGGTCTATGATTTGCACATAGAACTTGCTGTTCTCCACAGGGCCTGGCTTGACCCACTCAGTTATATACTATCTCCACTTAGTATACCTCCTGTCAGACCACACCTTTTTTTGGCCAGAATCCTACCAGTAGACATGGGGTTTGCGATCATGACCAGAGACATGATTTTGGTTGGAGACTCCTTTCCATATGAAAAATGGGAGAATGGGTACTAGAGGCAGAGCACTTTATTTTATTAACCTAAAGGATCACTATTTTTACTTTGAAATAAAGCAGTCTGGTGAAAAGAAATATGGAGAGAAGTCAATGAAAGGAATTTAGCACTTACGTAGTGCATGCGTCAACTCATCAGAAGGAAAACACAGAAGAAAGATGTGTGTTAAACATTGTTAGAGAGCATCATCACATTTTTTTCAAAGGAAGCAATAACATACTACTGTATGATGTTCTTAGCCCAAAGGCACAAAAGGGTGACAGGAACACATACAAGGCTTATTTGACTTCTGGCTTCCTTTTCTCCCAGTTTTTTCCTCAGCTTCTCTATCTTCCTCTAGGACTCTTTTATTCCTCCTCTTGATCAGTACACCTCCTTTTATTCACCTATGTGTTTCATTCTGTTTCACTCTCTGTCTCTGTCTTCCTCTATCCTTTTTCATCATCTTTTATTCTATCTCACTACAAAAACTGAGAAAAAAATTAGAAATAAATTATATTCTATGTATCACACTGTCATTGCATGTATTGAGTTGTATATTATACAATCTAAATACAAAAAAGAGGAAGACTATTTCTCATTTTGCTCTTGCATGAGACAAATGTAGTTACTTATTACTTTATGTGGCTCTTTTTATATGGCTTAGTCACTTTTGATGGGAAAAAATTTTCTGATTTAGTCTTAACTCTATTGATCCTTGTGTTAGCTAATCCACAACTTTTGTTTTCAAAGTACCTTGTAATCTAGGAGGTGGGAGGTGAGGAGAGGGCAGGAAAGGTTTGTTAAGAAACGACTAAGTCCTGCAATACTAAGAGTAAGAGTGTAGCACCTGCTTATTTCAGTTATCGTAATCACCAAAGCAACCAACCCTGGACACCTTAGTTTGTCTGAATGTGTATTTTGGATAGTTTGTACCTAGCCCCAAACTCATAAACTAACACATCAAAGAATATGTTTAATAAAATGAACAGGCAATCCACAGACTGAGAGAAAATATTCACAAAACATGTATCTGGCAAAGAATTTATAGTCAGAATATATAAAGAACCCATACAACTCAATAATAAAAGGCAAACAACCCAACTAAAAATGGGCAAAAGATGTGAACAGACATTTCACAAAGAAAAATAAAGAGCTAATAAGTGATTAAAATGTACTCAACATCATTAGTAATCAGGGAAATGCAAATTAACATCACAATAAGATACCACAATACACTCACTAGACTAGCTAAAATTAAAGACTAAATGTTGACAAAAATGTAGAGCAACCAGAATTCTTATACATTGCTGATAGGAGCATAAAATGGTACAGCCTCTTTGGAAAAAAACATCTGTCAGTTTCTTATAAAACTAAGCATCAGCCGGGTACAGTGGCTCAAGTCTGTAATCCCAGCACTTTGGGAGACGGAGGTGAGAGGATTGCCTGAGCCCATGAGTTCAAGACCAGCCTGGGCAACATTATGAGACCTCGTCTCTACAATACATAAATTTTAAAAATTAGCCAGGTATGGTAGCACGCACCTGTAGTTCCGGCTACTTGGAAGACTGAGGCAGAAGGATCACCTGAACCCAGCAGGTCAACACTGGGGTGGCCATGAGCATGCCACTGCACTCCAGCCTGGGTGACAGAGTGAGACTCCCAACTCAAAAAAAAAAAAACAATAAAACAAAACAACAACAACAACAACAAAAACTAAGCATCTATCTATGTCCCAGCAATTCCACTCCTAGGTGTTTACCCAAGAGAAACAAAAGCTCACAAAGAGACATTTACAAAATAGTTATAGCAGTTTTATGTATAATAGCCAAAAGTACGAAGAATGCAGAATGGATAATCAAATTGTGGCATGTTCACATAGTGTGGTACTAATCAGCATTTAAAAGAAAGGCACTACTGACAGAGACAACAACATGGATGAGTGTCAAAAACATTATACTTAATAAAAGAAGCCAGTCACAAAAGAATGCATTCTAGGTGATTCCATTCATCTACAATTTTAGAAAATGTAAAATAATTTATGGTGAAAAAATAGAATAGTGGTTGCAACTAAGGGAATAGGAACTAATTGGGAAAGGGCATAAAAAAAACTTTCTAGGGTGATGGTAATGATCGTGTTTTAGATAAAGTTGTGGGTTATA